AAAACTAAACAAATGCTTCTTGGTATTATAAATGCATATGACAAAACTACAAAGAAAAACAAGGAAACGATGTAAACTGCAGGATGGGACTCTCTTAGAGAGGAGAGGTGGGGATGGAATGGGTAGGGTCAGAAAGAAGACTTCAAAGTCATGGTCCTGTTTGTTTAGGACAGAATTACTGGTGCACTATTTCACTGTATCATTCCTTCCTCCTTATGTATGTTTTATAAATATTTAGTCAATATTAAAAGACTTTTGGGAAAAGCCCAAACGAATACAGTTTTAGCTTTATCGTGTGCATATATATTTCTTCAACAATAGTAACTAATTAAAACCAAACCAACCCTCTAGAATAGTTGGGTTGTATTGTAGGTTGTATAAATGACATTTTAAGAAGCTGCCAATTTTTTTCCAAAACGGCAGTACAAGTTTCCATTTCCACTAGAAGTATATGTTCCTCTACATTCTTGCCAACATTTGAAATTGTAGGTCTTTTTTATATTAACTATTCCAGTGATACCTCTTTGTGGTTTTTCAGTGATGTTGACCATGCAGTTATTTCTTATTTGTATATCTTTTTTCAATGAAGGGCTTCTTAAAACTTTTGCCTCTGTTTATTGTTTGCAGTGGCATGCTGGTAAATATTCATAATAGTTAAAAGCAGATTTTGGAGTCGGGCTGACTCTGTTTCCCCTTAAAATTGTAAACAGAAAGATGACAAGGAATAAATGAGATAATGTATGTCGAGTGCTTAGTACACCGTCAGGCTGTATTGTAAACACTCGATAATTGGAGTTAGGTATTAGTACTGTTCTTGGATAAGTCACTTCCATGTTTGAGTCGGTCAGATCTTTAAAATTGTGCTAAAACGCCCCTCAAATTACTGAGAGGAGTCACTGATCTGTCTTGCAACTAAAATTTCACTAGGATCAGTTATTAACAAGCAAAGTGGCCATCTTTGAAAGAAAATGTCAATAATTTTCTAAAGAAACACAAAACCCCTTGAACATTCCTCTTCCACTGGACCCTTCCGTTCCTTTAAAGTTGGCCGGGCTGCAGACAGACCAGGGAGTGACAGAGCAGGTGGCCAATCACGGCGATTGGCCAATCCGAGGCGGCCCCGTCTTGGGCCCACCCCGAGGCCTGGTCCAACCGCGTCCGGGTAGCGCCCGGAGTGAGACCGTTGCGAGACGGCCGGTTCCAAGTGCGCCACGGCCCGGGGGGGAGGCAGGCCCGCACGCCGGAACCCAGAGGCCCCCTGAGCGCGAGGATTGGAATCCGCAGCGCGGCTGCTGCGAGCGGCCGGGCCCAGCGGGACCGCGGAAGACTGACCTGTGCCTAGAGCCCATCCCGGCAAGCAAAGCCTGCTGCGAGTCCCTGGCGTCCCCTCCGGCGCGCTCTTGGAGCCACTTTCCCGAGCGGAAGTCAGCCTGCTGCTCAGGCTCCGGTGTGACCTGCTCGGAGGAATGGCGCCGCCGGGTGAGGCGTTGCGCATGGCTCAATAACTGGGTTCCGCGGCCGGCACGCTTAGGGGAGCGGGCTCTGGCCCGCGGGAGGCTAGTGCCCGCCACTCGGGAGCCGGCTAGGCGGGATCCCCTCCCCCTGCGGGGCAGGGGCAGGGGCATGGGCTCCAGCTCTTTCGGTGGCGAGGGTCTGACCGAGGGCAGCGAGCTGGTGCCAGTGCCCGCGACTAGCTGGGGGTTGGTGGGGGTGGGGTGGGGTGCAACGCGGAACTACGGGTCCCCGCGAAGACCAGCCTGTGGGTGGGCGAATTGCGGCCGCGCTTAACCCAGGCCTGGCTTCCCCCATTCATTTGACAAGTGCGGGCGGCCTAAGACCTGTCCCCGCTCGCCGCGGGCCACTTTTTGTTTCGTGTGAGCCTTTGAGCAAACTGCCCATTCTTTGGGCCATAGTTTCCTCTTCAGTGACAGAGACAAGAGAATCATTCTTCAGCTCTCTGGGAGCTTAGAGTCTAGGTTCTCAAGTTCTACTCTGGGCGCAAACTTGCAGCCTGCCACGTATTCTTTATATGACCTAGAGCCAGTTACTTGAGTACACTGCACCTCAGTTTCTCATCTCTAAGATAAGTACATTATTCGCTTCATAGAGTTGCTGCATTAAGTAAGATAAGTTCATTGCTTTGGTGGTTACTGAGTGGACACAGCAGGATGGACTCCACAGCTCGTGTGTGTACTCTTGTTATTCCCGCGGGACACAGGCTGGAATCCTAGAGAGAAGGGAAATAACTTACACAAGGTAACTTTAATCAGCCCTGTGTTTAACTAAGAAGTAGTGGATACTATAATGGTCAAAGCCATAATTTGGATTCAAACTGCCTGTGGTATGATTCTCAGTTCCTTATGTGACTTAGGGCAGGTGCAGGTAAGCACTTCTGAACCTCAATTTCTTGGTCTGTAAAAGGCAGTAAATAGCCACCTCACTTGGTTGTTGTGAGGATTTAATGTCTCAGTTCATACAAGGTACTCAGTGTAGTTTGAGCTTTCCTGGCGTGTTACAGTATCAAGTTTTAGCCAAATAGTTATTGCTATCAAGGTGGGAAGATGAGGGTCTGATGCAGATGCTGTGCTAGGGGAATTTACAGGCTAGCTGGGAAAATGCTAGTGATAGCAATCCACTAAGATTGCAGTATTGAATGCCTGCATGTACACTAGGCATTGGAGATTCAGCAGTAGTACCTCGACTCCTCTTTTCTCTTGCATCTTTTTGTCCAGTAGCAATCTGATAGGCTTTAACTTTGAATTCTAGCTAGACACTGGCCACTTGTTACCACCTCCGCTGCTGTTGCCCAGGATTGGACCACCCTGATCTGTTTACTTGAAATATAGTAGTAGTCTCCTAACTTTTTCCCCTCTTTCTGTCCTTGCTCCTGCATACTCTGTTCTCAACACAGCATTGCCTGTCAGCACTGTGATCCTGTTCAAATGTAAGTCAAATCACTCCTCTGTTCAGAACTTTACAGCAGTTCCCATCTTGTTCAGTGCCAGTCAGTCTTCTGTGGTGTTCAAGGCTCTCTGGAGTTGCCTCTGTCACTCCATCTTTACCTCTCTCCCTGGCTTACCTACCTCTGGCATACTGGCCATGCTGATCTTGAAAATAACCATGTGTCCCCCTGGTGTAGACTTTATACTTGTTTTTCTTCTTGGGATACTTTTTCCTCAAATAACAATAATGACTTGCTCCTTCTTCTTGAAGTGTAAGCTCAATATCTGTTTCTTCCTTGGTCCTTCGTAGACTCCATGTTTAACATGCAGCCCTTCCCACGTGTCCCTTCTGTATTTTTAGTTTTCTCCCTAGCACTTTTTACCTTGTAATGTGACAAATCATGTTTCTTAATTATTTTATGTTAAATCTTTGTTTTCCCACTTGAATCCAAGCTATCTGAGGGTGGGGAGTTTCCTGCTGTATTTTTTTTTTTTTTTTAAGTTATACATGGACACAATATCTTTATTTTGTTTACTTATTTTTATGTGGTGCTGAGGATCGAACCCAGTGCCTCACATGTGCGAGGCAAGTGCTATGCCACTGAGCCACAACCCCAGCCTTTCTGCTGTATTTTAACACTTGAAATAGTGTTTATTCCACAGTAGCATTCAATATATATTTGATGAAAATTCCACATTATAGGTCTCTTTGTGGTTTTTATTGTTGTTGTTCATTTGAACCCAGGGTGCTTTTATCTCTGAGATATATCCCCATCCCTTTTTGGTTTTTATTTTGAGACACTGTCTCACTAAGTTGCTGAGGCTGGCCTTGAGCTTGCTTTCCTCCTGCCTCAGCCTCCTGAATCCCTAGGATTACATGAGTGTGCTATGGCATCTGACTGTATTTTTCTCTTTATCCTCTGCAAGCATTGTACTACTGAGTTACCTCCCCAGTCTTCTCTTTTCTTTTCTTTCTTTCTTTTTTTAATGGACTTTCACATTCTTTAGGTTAATACACACAAGTACTTAAATGAAATAAATGTTCATAGAATAGTTCTCTGCCTACCCCTAATATATATCATTCTCCAAAAAAATAGTGAAGCATGAACTCTTGTGATGTTAGACCTAGGTTTGGATCTAAAACATGTGCAAGCTACTCTGGTCCTCAGTTTTCTTATTTGTAAAATGGATGTAATAATGTCTTTCTTAATTCTAGTTCCAACTAAATTTGACACTATGGGCAAAGGATTTAAGACCATTAATGCTAGCCTTGTGATTGCTTGTTGTTGCTTTTTACTTGGGTGGTGGACAAATTCACTTCATCATGAAGCAGTGCCTTCAAAAGTTGTTTTTTGTTTTGTTTATTATTTTATTATTATTATTTTTTAAACTGGAGATTGAACTCAGGGGCACTTAACCACTGAGCTACATCTCCAGCCCTTTTATATTTTTTATTTTGAGACAACAGAGTCTTGCTGTTGCTTAGACCTTGCTGAGTAGCTTAGGGCCTTGCTGAGTTACTAAGGCGGCCTTGAACTTACAATCCTTCTTTTTTTTTTTTAACTGTATCCAGCTTTATTAAAGATACTTTTCATAAACAATCATGGTATTTCAGGCAGGACATGGGCAGACAATCGTTAACAGTATACAACAACTTTCAAACTCCCTTCTTGAATGGACTACCAAAATCAGAAAGCCACTATAAAACCCAATGAAGTCTTCATTTGATGCTCTGAATAGGGAAAGTTTAGAGTGAGGGTTGACATTTCACATTTAGCATGTTGTTTAACAACTTTTCACAAGCCGACCCTGACTTTCAGGAAATGAAAGGAAAATGGCAAAAATTATTAATCTGAAGATCCACAATCTAGAAAAGGAACTGCTGCTCTTCTGAGGGACACTATTCTCAATGACGTCACTGGAAAGTCCAGATTGCCCCACACACTGGTAAAACCAATCGTTGGGAATCAGGTCCCAATAGGTCTGAGTTTAGGGGAATTAAGTCTATGCCGATGGCAGAGAGGGACAGGAGGACATATAGATGAGTTTGAGTTTTTCCATACCACAAGGCATTTGTGCCAAGGTGGCTATGTGTGCCAACATCAGGGAATCCCTTCCTCTTGGGAACAAAGAGGAAGTCTCTCAAAACTAGAAGGGAAAGGTGTCTTCCCCCACAGCAATCCAGCTTTAGAGACATTCTACTAGTGACATATGCTCCTTCCCCCGCAAAACAACAATGAAGTGTTCTGTGTGCTAACAACATAGCTTAAAAAAAAAAAAAAAAAAAGTAAAACAAAATTCTGCATTTTTATAAAACTTGATAAAAAATAGTATTTCAAACTGTACAGTCACCAGAAGTACAGTTATCAAAAACGCACACACTTCACTTGGCATCTCCAGCACCTTCAGCTTTCTGTGCCTGGTCTGTTTTGGCATCTCCATTTTCTGCAGGGTTATTCCCATCCTTGCCAGTGTCAGCTTTTCCCTTTTTCCCTTTGGGTACCTTCTCTCCCTTCTTTGCAGGGGCCTTTTTAGGCTTGGGCTCTGGCTTTGGAGGAGCAGGTTTGGCAGACAACCTTGCAGATCTTCTCTGTGGTTCGTCTTTCACCTTGGCTTTATCTCCTTTAGCATCCCCTTCAGCCTTTCTCTTGGGCATGGTGGCGACGGCAGCGGGACACAGGCGCTGGACGCGGGGATGCAGCGGTGCGCGGCTTTGGTCGGTCCGGGGGTCGTTCTCGCCTCTTCTTCACACTGCTCCGAACTTACAATCCTTCTATGCCAGCCTCCCAAGTTGCTGGAATTATAGATATGTGCCACTGTGCCTGGCTTTGTTTTTTGATTTTTTAAAGAAAATTTATACTTGCACTTTATTGTTTTTCCACAGTCTTTATTTCTGCATTATAATTATACATAATGATGGGATTTGTTGTTACACATTCGTACATGCACACAATATGACAATATAGTTTGGCTAATATGTTCTCTTTTTTTTTTTTAAGAGAGAGTGAGAGATGTGGAGAGAGAGAATTTTTTTTTTTTTTAATATTTACTTTTTAGCTTTCGGCGGACACAACATCTTTGTTTGTATGTGGTGCAGAGGATCGAACCCGGGCCGCACACATGCCAGGCGAGCGCGCTACCGCTTGAGCCACATCCCCAGCCCATATGTTCTCTTTTTTAAATAGAAATATACCACTCCTACAATTCTTGCTGGAGCATCATAGATGTGAGTTAATTCTTCTTCCATTTATTTGAGAAATAATTATTCAGTACCTACCTTGTACCACGCAATTTGCAAGACAAGTAAATACTGGGACAAACACGAAAAACAGTCTTTGTCCTCATGGAACTTGCAGTTTAGCAGAGAAAACAGACCTCTCAGTATCATAGTTATAAAAAAAATAGTTCATAAGAGAAGTACAAATTACTGTGAGTAGATAAAACAACAACCTTATAATGGTAATAGAAGTAGCTGACATTTATATAGCCCTTGTTATGTGCAAGATCTTTCTATGTTAATCCATAACAACTCTGTGGATGATATTGTTATTATCCCACTTTCCTCTTGAGGAAGCTGAGGCCCTGGCTGAATCACTTTCCATGGTCACCTTGCTAATAAATGGAATGGTGTGATGAATCCTGTGCCTTAGAAGCTCAGAGCCTGCTGGGTGGACTTTTCTTTCCACATTTGAAGACCTGGCTCACCGCTCAAATCTGACCCCAGCTCCTCACTCTTCCTCACATGGTTTGGTTCCCAGATGTTGGTGCGCATCATTGTTGGGACTACATATAAAAATCTGGAGTTGTATGTAATGTATTTAATATATTCATTTCCCTCCAAGGTTCAAGCACTGTCTTCCTGTTGGCCCTGACAATCATAGCCAGCATTCAGGCTCTGACACCCACCCACTACCTCACCAAGCATGACGTGGAGAGACTGAAAGCCTCGCTGGACCGCCCCTTCACAAGTTTAGAATCTGCCTTCTACTCCATCGTGGGACTAAGCAGCCTTGGGGCCCAGGTGCCAGATGTAAAGGTATGACTTTTGCCTTGGTGTCCTGAGTGATTCAGAGAACCTTCTTCTCCTCACTGGGTTCCTTTTGGGTACTTCAAAACAAACTCTTGGGGCTGGGGTTGTGGCTCACGGTAGAGCGCTTGCCTCGCACTTGTGAGACCCTGGGTTCGATCCTCAGCACCACACAAAAATAAATAAGTGAAATAAAGGTATTGTGTCCAACTACAACTAAAAAATAAATATTAAAAAAAACCCAAAACTCTTCTCATTTGAGGGCAACCAAGGTCAGTCCAATATAAGAAATACTTATTTCAATCTAACAGATTTTCTTTTTTTAATGTTCATTTATTTATTTATTTATTTTGTTGTAGTTGGGCACAATACCTTTGTTTTTATTTTTTTTTATGTGGTGCTGAGGATCGAACCCAGGGCCTCACACGCGCTAGGTGAGCGCTCTACCACTGAGCCACAACCCAAGCCCCTAACAGATTTTCTTTTTGAGTGCTTAATGTATATTTAGGAGCATACTAGGTGTTCTTAGTGAAATAGAACAAGTTTTCGATCCTCTAGAAACCTATACTGTAGCCCTGTGAGTGAGACCGTTCAGTACCACAGGTACTTGTAAAGTGCCTAGGTGTTTGGATAATCAGTGATTAAAGAATTCAAGTTGGGGGCACTCCCACTTGTTAAGCTCGACAGTCACTGTATCAGGTCACTTTGGTGTACTTTGTGGACTTTTGATGAGGAGAATGCATCATTATTTAAACCTTTTCTGGATTCAGGAACAGTGGTGAGGGAATTTATATTTTATTCATTGCAACAGAATGGACAGCTAGGCTAAGAAATTTTCCTATGTACCTTTTTTTGTGGGGAGGGTGGTTACCAGGGATTGAACTCAGGGGCACTCCTTACTGAGCCACATCCCCAGCCCTATTTTGTATTTTATTTAGAGACAGAGTCTCACTGAGTTGCTTAGTGCCTTGCTGTTGCTGAGGTTGGCTTTGAACTCATGATCCTCTTGTCTCAGCCACCGGAGCCACTGGGATTATAGGCATGAGCCACTTGTTCCTGGCTCATATATACCTTTGTTTTCAATGACTATACAACAAATTTCTGTAAACTTAGGGAGTTAAATCACCATCCATTTATAAGCTGATATTCTGCAGGTCAGAAGTTATCCAGGCAGTTTTCCTGAACTTGCTTTTTAGTGTCTCCTAAAGTCAAGGTGAAGGTATTGACCAGGCTGAGCTCTTACTGGAAGCTCTGGTGAAGAATCTGTTTCTAAGCTCATTCAGGTTGACAGAATCCAGTCCCTTATAGTTTTAAGTCTGAGGTCCTTACTTTCTTACTGGCTCAAGCCAATGGTTGCTCTCTGCTCGTCAAAGCTACCCAAATTTCTTCTCATGGGGCCAGCAATAGTGTCTCTCTCTTGCCTCCATTTCTACCATCAGCCAGAGAAAACTGCTCTTAAAGGGCTCACCTGCTTAGGTCAGGCCCACTTGCATAATCTCTGAATTCTAAGGTCAACTGACTTGAGGTTTTTAAATATACCTGCAAAAATCCCTTCATAGTAGTTTCTAGATTTGTGTTTAAGTGAATAATTAGTGAATGGAAATCTTAGGGGTGGGTGAGCAACTTTTAGACTTCTGCCTTCCATATCTTATATTGGCATTGAAATGATTCTAAATCTCAGTGACAAAATTTGTTTTTTGTTTATTCACTTGAGGCTTCCCTTTATATTTCTTCAGTCTGGGATTTAGCTGATGGAGTAGTCTATCTGGAACATGTGCAGAAAGCAAATGGAGTATATGGTTCTTTTTTTTTTTTTTAAATATTTATTTTTTTTAGTTTTCGGCGGACACAACATCTTTGTATGTGGTGCTGAGGATCGAACCCAGCGCCCCGCACATGCTAGGTGAGCGCGCTACCGCTTGAGCCACATCCCCAGTCCCGAGTATATGGTTCTTAAAACTTCTGCTCCGGCTGAGTATAGTGGCACACACCTGTAATCTCAGCATCTTGGGAGGCTGAGGCAGGAGTATTGCAAGTTCAAGACCAGTGTCAGCAACTTAGTGAGACCCTGTTTCAAATAAAATAAAATAAAAAGGACTGGGGATGTGGCTCAGTGGTAAAGCCCCTCAGTTCAATCTCTGGTACAAAAACAAAGAAAAGAAAAGAAAAACAACAACAAAACAAAACTTCTTCATAGAAGAGACACATTATATGTTACTTCTTTTCATTTTTCTCATTTTGTTGTCTAATGCCAGTCACATAGTCCTGTGTGGATTCAGTAAGTCAGGGAGGTAGAGAGACAGTGCATTTTGGTGAATAGAACTCATCCAACTAGCTCCTGGATCCTTTTGTCTCAGTGCTTTCCTACGAGCGAGCCTCTTTGGCTCTAGTCTAACAGTTCCTTTTCCGAGAAGAGTGGTAAGCACCCCGACACACTGGATGGGCAGTGTAGCCCATGTTAGTCTGAATTCATTCATTGAGCAGTTGTTAACTGAGCGCTTGTGTTAGGCCCTGAGTCAGTCATAATCACTGCACTCAGGGAACTTATGGTAAGCTGGAAGTTAGAAAAGAGTAGTGCTGAGCCAGGTGCAGTAGTACACACCTGTAGTCCTAGAGACTTGAGAGGCTGAGATGGAAAGACTGCAAGTTTGAGACCAGACTCAGCAACTTAGCAAGACTTTGTCTAAAAAAAAAAAAGGCTGGGGATGTAGCTCATCAGTAAATTGCAATCCCCAGTACCCGCCTCTGTCCCCTGCAAAAAAAAAATAAATAAATAAATAAAAGGCCTGTAATTCGGATGTGTTCTGCTTCAAAGGTCGTGTGTTAAAGGCTCGGTCCTCATCCCATGGTGCTGTTGAGAGGTAGTGGGCACTATAAGAGGTGGGGCCTACTGGGAGGTTGTTAGTCCATTAGGGGTATGCCCTTGAAGAGGATTGTGGAACCCTGGTCCCTTTGCTTCTTTGGTCCTTTCCTTCTCTTGCTCCCTGGCCATACACATAGTGCCATTGCTCAAAGCAATGGGGCCAACCATTCATAAACTGAAACCTCTAAAACTATAAGCTAATATAAACCTTTTCTTTTTGTTAGTTGATTATGTCAGCTATTTTGCTACAGTAACAGAAAACTAATACGAATCAGCCTTTTATTATGGAAGTTTTCAAACATTCACAAAATTGCCATCTGCTAGCTTGAACAGTTATTTACATTTTGCCATTTTGATTACGATTACTTGTTTTCTCCTTTATTTTTGCTGGAATATTTTATTTATTTTTAAGATAAGATCTTACATGCCTGTGATCCCAGCTACTTGGGATACTAAGTCAGGAGAATCACCTTACGGGTTTGAGGCCAGCCTGGCACTAGGCCAGCAACTGGACTATTTTAAAGCAGATATTAGACAAATCGTTTTACTTATATCTCCTCATGGGAACTTTTGTTTTAACAATAATAGCAGTGTTTTTATTTTGTCCATCCATTTAAAAAATATATTTTTAGTTGTAGATGGAGATAGTAATTTTATTTTATTTATTTACTTTTATTTGGTGCTGAGGATTGAACCCAGTGCCTCACATGTGCTAGGCAGGTGCTCCACCACTGAGCCACAACCCCATCCCCTCTATCCATTATTAATAGTAGTTTTTTTTTTTTTTTTTAATGTCATTT